TGTAAAAGTAAATAGTAATAGTAAAAGTAGTATTTATGACTAAAGAAAGCACAAGATGCTAACCTAAAAAAAGACAAATCAACATTATACTTTTCTGGGAATCCAGGTTAAAGTGCTATGGCAAACACAATGCACATAGTACATTGAGGTAAAGGATATGGTAACTGACAAACACAACTGATAACTGTGTATCTGACTCAGATACACTGATTATATTATCTCTATAATCATACAATCACACAGCAATCACAATTTTGGTTTAACAGTTTGATTGTAATGGTGATAATCACTGTATACAGGGTGATAATGTGCCAATCTCATGTTTATACATTTTGCGTTCACCACCCCAAATAGCCAAAAAATGAATTATTGCTTCTTTAAAAAAGCTATCTATCATTTTGTAACACAATAATCATTTTATGAATTGATTGACACTGTCTAACAGCCAATTCACTGTACTTATTTGGGTGTGCCATAAAAACTGGATTTAGCCTAAAATACAAATTGCAGTTGAGATAATAATGTTAACGATAATTCAAACATAGGGAGCAAGTTGTATTCTTGTCTTTGTGGTAGAAAAAAGACATTGAGGAAATTCACCAAAACCCATTAAAGCATCTCTCTTTACTTGAACTTTAAATGAACTTTGAAAAGACGGTCACCTGGATTTATAATCGAAAAGTATGGATATTGACAACAACCAGTTTGGAGGAGATTAATCATTTAGTGTTTAAAATGCTCTTTAAATTCAAGACAAAACACCTTTTGTGCGTTGGTAAAGTGGTTTGCAAATGTTCGTGAAAAACACATTTCGTTATAAAAGCAAACAAAAGGATTCATGCTGTATCTCCACTATCTTTCTCCCCTCCTGTGTCAGTATGCAGCTATTTGTGTTGTAATGGGCAAGGCAGAGCTCTCTTCACTTATAAATCCTCCACCTCCTTTTACAACGCCAAGCGAAGCAGTGAAACAGAGGCTTTAACTGCCCAGCTAATCTATCTCTACATCTCTGGTGGCCATTATGGCTCAGAGAGTCCATACATCACGTCTGCAAGTGGATAGATTATGGATCAAAGTCGGTGCAGCTGACACATCTGTGAGAAAGATGGGAGGGAAAGGAATCCATAACTGCAGGTCAGCATGGAGGTCCATTCATCTCTAGAGCTCGCTGCAAATGTGTAAAGTTCAGGTAACAGGCAGCGCTCATTTTGATTTTATAATCCATACAAATGAGAATTTTAAGCATGCTGTTGCATTTCTTGAGATTTTTGGGAAATAACATTTCCCTCATTACTTATTTTTTTTCACTGAATTAGTTATCGATAGTATAGTTATATATACTTGTAGCTCATGTCCAATTAAATCTACTATTACAAGTTAGTTAGTTTAATGTTAAAAAAGGATCAGGTATTTCCTTGATGAAAGCTGGCCACCTGTTTTTTTCTGTAATACAAATAGCGGCTGTTGTGTCTCGTCAAATATGTACAGTAAGTGTTAGCATGTTTCTCTTTACTTATACTCAAGTTTAATGGTTAGTCATGTTTCATGTTTTGTTTAGTTATTTTTGTATTGACAAGTCATGTCAGGGATTTGTCAAGTTATCGTGTCACACGTCTAGTCTTGTCTTCCACTTGCTGTTTTATTTTGGTACTTACCTCTTGTGTCTCATTTCAGATCCCTTGACTCTCCGCCATTTTGTGTTACCCCGCCTTCACCAGCCCCGCCCCTGATGGTTTCCACCTGTTCCCAGTTACCTCGTGTTTAAATACTCCAGTCTCCCCTTGTCTAGTGCCAGTTCGTCTTGTCCTGTCCTTGTGTCAGTAGCCAGCGTATACGCAGTTTATTTCATGCATCAAGCCTGTTCCATGTTCCTGAGTTCTCTTAGTAAGTTTTGTTCCTCATACTGAGAGAATTTTTGTTAATAGCTTTTTGAAAAAAAAATGTTTGGTTGTATTTTCTCACCTCATTAATCAATCAATCAATCAATGTTTATTTATATAGCCCAATATCACAAATGTTACATTTGTCTCAGTGGACTTCACAGTTTCTACAGAATATCAGTATGACAATACGACACCCTCTGTCCTTAGACCCTCACATCGTACAAGGAAAAACTTCCAGAGAGAAAACCCACAGTTTAAAGGGGAAATGGGAGAAACCTCAGGGAGAGCAACAGAGGAGGGATCCCTCTCCCAGGACGGACAGACGCGCAATAGATGCCGTGTGTCAATCGAAGAGATAATACATTTCACAGCGTAGGTAGACCAAATGTTTGGAAATGCATGTGTCTATAATAAGAAGATGAATCCACGAGGATGTCAACAATCCTGTGGGAGCCATCAGGGAAGTAGTATGATGAGAGTCAGGCAGGACCGCAGAGACAGGTTCAGCCACGACTCGAAATCCAGGACTCAAATACAGAACTCAGGATAGAGGATCCAGGACACAGGACCGCAGCAACAGGATCAGCCACGACTCAGGATCCCGGCGTAGATAGACACCAAAAAGAAATTTGGGGGAAGCTGGGTTATTCGGAACATGAGAGTACACAGGTACAGACAGACAGAAGGAAGAATTAAGGTGTCCCACGACAGTCTAAGCCTATAGCAGCTAAACTAACGTGTCTACGTACATGCACTCCCTTAGGATAGGTTGAGGGAAAAAGGATAGCAAATAAGAAGTAAGGAACAGAGGTGGAGAGGCACAACGTGTCTACGTACATGCACTCCCTTAGGATAGGTTGTAAGAGTGTTGTTTTTTGTGTTGGTTTACTTATCCTCCTTGTGAGCGTCCTGAGTCTTTTGAAATTAAAGTATTTTGTTATACTTTACCTCTGTCTCCTGGAGTCGTGCATTTGAGTCCAACTGCCTTGTGTCTGAAATTCGTAACAGCGGCGGATTAACCCACATTTGGTGCTCTAGTGTGAATTTGGGGCAGCATGATGCTGTATGTGCGATTTAGTAAAAAGTCATAATAGACACCAATATAGAACTCAGCCCAAGTTTAAAGATACTGTCATTTCCCTTTAAGGTTCTTATCATGTTTATTGATATTGTGCTTTGGAAATGCATATCAGTATTCCTATAAACATTTACAGTTACCACCAACCAGGCTGAGGCCCATCTCCAGCACTGGGAGCCATGCTGATAAATCAGTGTTTATTGCGCTTACTCATGAATGAATAAAAGCATTTACATACCACTGTTTGATTTTATGCCGTATAGTGTTTTGTCGCTTATTGTTAATAAATAATGTGTCCTGCTGAGCGTATATTAAACATTACACAAGTCCATGCTTCTGATATAAGGTATAGTAATGTTAAGCCAATAACACCTTTACTAACCTCATGAGTTTGCTAATGGTAGCTATTGTTTGCTTACTGCTAATGTTCTGTAACAACAGCCTTACCATTTCAGCCAATGTTTGAAAAATCATTATGTTAGCACACATTTTTTGCTGCTAAATGTAAAGTTAGCTAACATATAGTTAATTATATTGAAATATTAAGATATTATTGTTTACTTTGGTCTTATAAATGAAGGTTGTGTGGCTTTTTCAAAGAAAATGTAAGCTAACGTATCCTAATGATTGTCACTGGGGTGCACATTTTCAAAGATTGAGGCATTTATAATGAATATAAATACATTTAATAGAATTAATAGAATACTTAATTGATTGGATGATAATGAGGATAGTTTTTGTTGCAGTATCAATGCAGGTTTTATGGTAATGTTTGACAAGAAATACATAAAAAGCAAAACAATTTAGAGTTAGAAGCTGTATCTGTAATGTGTTTGATGTTTTGGGGGAAATATATATATATATATATATATATATTTTCCAATCCGGTTGGAAAAAAGACAGGACACAGGATGTGTAATACATAGATAAATATATGTAAATAAATACATTCAACAGATTTTCAGTCGTCAGCAGCATGTTTACATCTGTGTACAGAGAGGGTTTATGACCTGCTACAACCAAGCAGTTTACAGACAGGCAGGGAATTAGACATCAACTTCACTTCTGCAACCCTCAGCCAATTCAATCCCTGCTGTTTACAATCTGCCATGCCTTACATAACACACAGATTCCCAGGCAGAGCATCACACTGGGGAGAAACTGTAGTGAGCGCAGCAGGAGAAGAAAGAGTTTTTTCATCCATCATAAAGTCTCATGTCTCACTGAAAATTGAAATAGCTGACTCTCAACATCACAAAGATCCCAGACATTCATCTGTGCTTGTGAATTGAGATTATTTATCAGGTCTAATATATATTACTTTGTTTTGTAAATGCATCAAAATCAAATAAATATATATCTAAATTCAAGTGGTACACACATATACAAGAAAACAACTTGAATATTCTCTGAGATTATAAAGTCATTTGCGAGAAATGTATGAGTTTGATTCAATCTTGTTGTTAATCCGTATGATTAGCTGACAAAAAATATATGTTTGATCTGATGTTTTTTCGGGGGGGTTATTTGTAACTTAAATCTAGAAAGAGAAATCAGATTTTCTAACTAAACTTTTCTCATAAAAATGTGAAGGTTTTTACCTTACATGAAATGTCATGGAATATTACCCATTTCTTGTAAATGTATGAATTTGATCAGACATTTTAGTTTTTTAGATTAAAATGACGTATTTTTGGGGGATTTTGGATGAATAATATATAAAATACAAGTTTAGTTGTGTTTTAACATATTTGTCCCTGTAAACTGTAGATGTTGTGCACATAGCTATTTTCTGAATCGTAACAATTCCTGTAGTGAAACGAATGTTCTAGATTACATAAGATTATATTCAACAATGACAATGATATCATTATTATTTTATTTCGAAAAGAAATGATGTGTTTAGTTTGTCTACTTTTGCTATTTTCCCATCTCAAAATACAATCATCTGTGTATATATAAATCTGTCAATGTACACTTTATATTATTTTATATATATTTTTATAACTCTTACAATAAATAACGATATGTGTCCAAATCACAGTTTTGGTTGTGTAGGGACTAAAAGGATAACAATCCAAGATAATCTTTTGAATACTCACTTCATATTTGAACAGAAGTGTTTGTTTACCTGTGATGTATCGATTTCGGCCGCTAACACAGCCACTTATTGTCTGCTTTTTCTTTTAGAGAACTTTAGCTCTGGGTTACAATTTTGAGTTATTTTCTCGATACAGTGCACATCCCCTTGAGACTTACATACAGCACATTTATGCAGTCAATTTTCAGAGAGGTCGGAGGTCAACGCTTTCCTGCAGCAGCTTCCCCAAGGACACTGTGCCGTAGGAGCACATTAGCTTCCTGAGAGGGTTGACCTCTGACCTCCGGGTGATGGAGCTGTCAATCATGTGTTTGGCCCCAAAGCCCTGCCAACAAACAGAACTGTCCCTTTCCATGAAATATGGGAAATAATAAAGTTTGTGCATGAGTGAAAGCCTTTATAATTAGCTTTATGCTCTAATGTTTTTTTTATGGATGCATTGTGTCAATATTTGCCCAAAGTCCCTAAATAACTGTAAACTACTCATGTTAAAGGGGGGATTGTGAGGTGGGGGGAACTTTTTCTGGAGGGAACTTTGGGATATTGGCCTTAACAGACCATTTACATGCTCAAAAACTTGTATAACACACTACAGGAAAGGTTAAACCCCAAATAGCATATCGGGGCCCCTTTAAATACTTCTGAAGATATAAAGACAGTATAAACAAATACAATTAGACTCATACGAGAACCTTTTTCAAAGATTATTTCCCCAAACATCTCAGTCTTAGTGTTCAAAGTCACATTCATTAAGCTCTCCCAACTACAGAACCCTGTCATAAATTGCCTCTTTCAGCCTGATAAATCCCACCTGTTCATGAGCAGGTGCACACTCGTACCGTTTGATCATTAACATGCTCGATGCCCTCAAATTGCTCCATTTGCGGGGAAAGTCTAATTAACAAAAATGTCACAGAAAAAGAACTTCACACGGCAGAGCTTCCAGTCCTGCCATCATAAAAATCAGCTGACAAAAGAAAAACTAATTTAGCAGAAGCAGTAGAGGTGTTAGGGGGAAAATGCCAAATATGGAAGAGAGAGGGATTTATGGTTTGAAGTCCAAACATGTTTTGCTAAATTAGAGTTCTCCTCAACACAAAGGCAGTCAAGTTGAAGTGGGGCACCTAATGAGAAACCTGCTTAAAAGTGTGCAGAACATTTCAATATGACACTTTTTGGTCATTCTGGTCTAAAATCAAGTTTCACAATTCAGTTTGTAATGATACTTTACGGAGTCTGCATATAGAGGATGTCAGATAGAATAAATGGATTACAAAGACCAAAGTCAATGTTAGGTTCTTACATTTTCATCCTTAAACCTAAATGACCTAACACACCAAACCATGATCTTTTTCCCGGTAGTTGTATTGTCTAAACCTAACTCACCTAACATAGTTGTAGGCAAATAGTCACACCTGCACTCATAAAGTGCATTATTAGAGGACAGCAAAATGACTGAGGAATAAAGAAGTTCAAACATTTGGTCTTGATACTCCGTTTCCACAAACAGCAATAACACTTAATCAACATTAGTATTCACAGTTTGAGACATAAATAGAGCATGGCCTGGACAAGACCTGTTTTAAAGTGCTATGTGTAGTATTTTGTGTTTTAACAGATCATGCTACTTCCTTTTAATCAGTCCCTCTTTGTTCCGTAAAGCCAAAGGGAGAATGAGAGACAATATCCAGAGTGTAAAACTTCCGTCTAATACCTATCATCTAACAAAGTTACAACATTCAATCTGTCAGCATTCAAAAAGTACTGCTCCCATTAGTTCTACCTGCATGCATTACACCTCATCGCAACTTTTGGTTTCTCTCTTATCCAAGATATTCACCAAGACTCTCTTCTAATGTCATCTTTCTACCTTAAAATGTAGCTTTAGAATACATATAACATAGAACTAGCTTAGAGGGGCTAATGTTAGATATTCCTGTGTAACTTCACATTATAACGTTTATACTGTAACTCTAGCATCCATTTTATTCCTGCTTTTCGCCAAAGGAGTTACAAATGCCCTCTTTAGTTCATCAAAATGGTTAATATCATAGTTAGAATAAATGTCTGTTCCCTTGTTTCTTGTTGTAAATATTTGTCCTTTTTAATATTTCAAATTGAAGCTGCTATAATGCAAGAACAATGTACACATTATCTGCCAATAAAGTATTATCATATCCTATAAAATACTACACATAGCACCTTGAAATATACTGGAACAGCTGTTTTACGTCCACGAAGAATCTTAATTCCCAGATTTCAGAGTCAAAAATCTCTCAAAAGGTTTCTCACACTTAATGGTGATTTGCATTTCATATAATAAGTACATATTTGTCTAATATTCTTTAAAACAATTATTTTGTTACAACAAATATGAAAGGGAATAAGGGCTGCTGTGCTTTTGTTCTACACATAACTCCTTGAGATATGCTGGAGAACTTTCCATCTGAGAAGTATCCTAATTCTCACACCTCTGTTTTTCACACTTTATATTAATTCTCATTTAATATATAAAGAACACACCTCTCTAAAGTTATTTATTACAACTACTCTGTCCCTTCTTGTCAAGTTAATCTTATTCATGAAATAAGGTATGCTGTGCTTTTGTGTTCGGTGGCAGAACACCCGGACAGTTCGAACCAAAAGAAGCTTTTCCCCCCCGATACTCAGCACTGCTCCTCCCCCAGCGAGTCTGTGTTCTCCCCCAGGTCTATGGAGGCTGACGTGGCTCTCTGGCCCCGTCCTGGACCAGAACCCAGCCCTGGACACGGCCCTGGACACGGCCCCCCGACTATGAGCCCGCCTCTGGCTCCGCTGTGGCCAGGGTAGACCTCCACCGTGCTGGAGATGGACTGCATGGAGCGGTCCCGAAAGTAGTGGAAGGCCTCCTGGTCCAGGAAGTTCTGCTCCTCGCGCAGGCCCTGCTCGAACAGCTTGCGTTTGTGCCTGAACTCGATCACCGTCTTGGTGTAGGAGTTGAGCGTGGTGACGGAGGCGGCCATGCAGCAGGTGAAGGAACCCCAGGCCATGCTGGAGGGACAGAGACACGTCTGCTTTCAGAAGACTACTAACTTATGATCATCAAACAATGACAAGCCAGGTCATGGTTTTGAAGATGTAAATTTAAGATGTAAACATAATTTTTTTTCTGAAATCACCATCCACTTAATAGACAAGACAAGAGCGTTTCACATAACATTTCATTTAGACTTTTTTATCCAAAGCAACTTAGAATAAGTGCAATAAACCATGAAGATATAAGTGAAGATCTGAAACGATAAGTTGGTTCATCTATTCACCAAAAAGGATGGGAAAAAATGGCAACTCATTGCATGTGTAGAAATAGTGGAAGAATTCCGGTATTCTCAGATATATGCCTATTAAATGAGAGTATTTCCTGCCTGTTTTGGTCATATATCTTTGCAATTTTTTTTGTAGTTTTTGACAAATCAAAAAATATATCATGTTTAGATCTATGCAGTTGTGATTGTGATTTTCAGCGTTACAAAAACAGTAAATAATGGGTAGATGCAAAGGAAAGTGTAAACAGCAGTAAAACTATTTCACCACAAATATTCTCAAATATTGTGTTTACCAAAGTAAGAATTAACTTTGTAGTTCAGCTTTAAACACAGTGCGGATGATTGGCCCCTATGGCTTGTGTCCACATAGCCTCTTTTATAAGTACGTATCCATACGAATAAACTGTACTCGATCAAGATTAGATGGATAACGGGTCAAGTTAATCCACTTTTTGTGTAATGTATGATGTGCTGTTAAGTTAATTGAAGCAGAATTAGTTAGTGTTATAGATGTTACTAAGTACATGTAGTCAGGTACACAATCTTTGTGTAATTAAATCTTATGTAACTTTATACTTCTAGTTCATTACATTTCTGAGGCAAATATTGTATACTTTGTTAAATTTGTTTAACATTCAGTTAACTTTTTACATTACAAAAACACATACTGATGATATAATGCAGTAACATACCACCAAGTAATTAAAATTGTCTCTATAAAGCCAAAATTCAACTTAAAAGTATTATTTTATGAAATCAGAATCAAAGAATAATACGATATTCTATAATAATAATCTAAAAAAAACTTTGAATATGTTTACTTTTGATATTTAAAGTACATTTTGCTGATAATTCTTCTGTAATTAAGACACATTTTGGATGGAGAACTTTTCTTGTAATGGAGTACTTTTAGACAGTGGCATTTCCTTTTATTTTTTGTACCAATTGTTTACTTTAATATCCTACTATTGTCTTCAAATACCTTACATTACATATTATATAGCTGAAACTTTTATCCAAAGAGACTTATATGTACTTTAATAATGTAGTAATGCCTATTTTGGGGTAAGGTATCTTGCCCAAGGAAACTGTGAAATGTTAACTGTAGGGGGTGGGATCAAACTGTAGGCTCCTTGATTGGTAGATCATCAAGACCCTGCACCCCAGTCGCCCCTAAGTACCACAGCTGGCCCTTATATCAAGGAGACCAGGCTGTAATCAGACACCATTGTTCATTCTTCTAACACCACAGGCTTGATCCAAATTAGAGGTATACTTATTATGTGTGTGTATGTGTTGGTGTGTGTGTGTGTGTGTGTGTGTGTGTGTGTGTGTGTGTGTGTGTGTGTGTGTGTGTCTGATCTCAACAGTTGGATGTCTTCCTAGAAGCATAGATATTAAATACTTTGATTCCCAGGTCTCTAGGACCTTGGGAAAGGCATGTCCCAATTTGTCATGTTTTGTTCACAAGTCCTGATATATCCTATAAACACGTGTGTGTGCGTGTGTGTGTACTGACCAGAAGGACCAGCCGTAGTCCCAGCTGTGAGGCCTCCAGTCCTCTGGACCCAGACTGACTGTGATCTGAAACACCTGAGTGTACATCATGTGGGCCACCATACCCAAGAGACCTGCATCACAAACGCACACAGTAGTGTAAATATCCAAACATTAACCTGAGACATTGAGGCTCGACTTGTCTGAGCAGTTGCTACGTAAAAGCAGTCAACCTGTTATCACAATGGTTCAAGAAATATGTCTATATATAAAACAGTGGTTCATTCTGTTAAATTAAAGTAAGCTATATGATGTAATGCATTGACATTTGGTTCATTACCCATGTTCCCTTCAAGATAACAAGAAATAACTTGGGTTTAAAACTAATAACTCGTTCACTGTCCTAAATATGACATATTTATGTTGGCCTCTTTTATGTGATGCAGGTTTATTAGTTTTTTACATACAAATAGACAGGCCAAAAAGTAATGAAAACCTACAAATATTTGAGGGTTGGATCAACATTTTTAAATAGCCGGATTCTGATTCTGGTTTGGGACATAGGCCTTTAGTAAGTAATGGTTTGTTTAAACTAAGCTAACAGCAAGTATAATTTGCCACAGATCAGAATTTCTGCTCCCCAGAGGATGAACCCTACAGATTTGTTAATAACCCTATCCCCTCTCCTCTTGCACCAACATCAGGGTTTACATTATTAACCCCTCCCTTTCAACGCTTTAAACTAATGCTGCTGTACACCCTCAGTGTGTTTCCTATTTCTTACATAACAAAAAGATAATCTGCCTGGATAATTACAATGAACCGAACAACAGTAAATCACTTTCGCTATTTGCAGCTCAACATATTATCAGTAATAAATCAGAACACATGTAACGTATGATAATTAGTCATTATACGGCACCAATTGATTTAACATGAGACACCCAATCAATTAGAGATAGGGTAACAATCGCTCATAATCTTACAGTAAATCAAGAAAGCCATAAATGTAAATGAGGAAATGAGAGAAATGAATGAAAAGGTTATACATCACAATCTTTCTTTGTGTGTGTGTGTGTGTGTGTGTGTGTGTGTGTGTGTGTGTGTGTGTGTGTGTGTGTGTGTGTGTGTGTGTGTGTGTGTGTGTGTGTGTGTGTGTTTGTGAAAAAATAATTTCTTCTTGACCTTGACTCGTTTCTGTGTGTGTGTCACATGCTAGTAAGGGTACATGGTTCTTCTGCTTCACTGGATGTTTTACAGTATTCATTGTAGCTTTGATGCTACCCGTCAAAAATGTTTATGTCCAAAATTATATATAAAAAGCAGGTTAACATCATCATGCTTGGCCAACACCACTCGGCTTCACTTTTTACCATTGTGACAACTACTTTAGCATCATTTTTAAACATGCTTATTGTCCACTTGGTAACTCAAGAAACAGTACTATATTATTATGCTATATGGTTTTCCCTTTCCTGTAGTGTTGTATTGGTTTTTGTGCATATGAATGGTCTGCAAAGGCTAAAATCCCAAAGTTGAGAGAGTTGCTCTCCCGCACACTTTCACGGGTGAAAAGAGGTGCTACAGCACAGGCAGAATGAGACAAATAAAGAGCTTTTTGAACATGTCACAGTCGAGGCACAAAATCAAAATATGAACCTAAATTAACATAACCTTTACATTGAGGTCAAGATAATTGTTTCGCTTGTTGTGAAAAAAAATCACTTTACACACTTAATTAATGATGTAGTGTTTATCATGTTTTAGTTATAGTGCCTGTAAATGTGCTTTAAAACCATCAGTGGTGTGAGGAAAAGGATAGCCGTTTGCAACATGGTTGAAATGGAGCCAACTTCTTGTATAAGAGGTTTAACATGAGTTGGGGGAAGAAATCCTACAATCCTACACAGCGACAGCTTCCAGGGGATAACCTCTGACCATGGGCGACCTCTGACAAATCTCCAACTACTTATCCTCATGTCTGAATGTGTTAAAATAATACGATGTGCACTACTTCCCCAGAGGAACGGCCATAAAAGGTTAAGAGGTTTTGCATGTCTTTTCAGGCGTCCCATCTTACCCGACAGCACGGTGAAGACGGCGGCGAAGGCGTTGAGTTTAAGTCCGTCGATGACGTTGCTTGAGTGGAAAAGCTCGAGACACATCAGACTGAAGCCAACCACCAGCAGCAGGATGTAGAGCACCTCGGACACCACCGACAACCACAGCACACCTGCAATACACACATTGCATATTGCAAAAGCATTAAACAAAAAGCAAAACAAATAGCTTCAGGCTACAAATACAGGGTGAATACGGATAACACAATGGCAGAGGACTATTTGGCAATATTTCGGATTAAAACCCAATGCTTAGGTAGGTAGGTAGTAGCAACATGAAAGCGATGTGGTAATCTGTAACTTTTTTGGTTAAGATCAGTACTCTACAGATATCAAGAGTCAGCCAATTGAGTAGCTAACCCTACTGAGTTCTCGCTTTAAAACAGGTCAGAAACATAAAGAAATTATCCATAAAAGTACGTTTTCAAACACTTTTTTTGAGTTGATGTTAAGTGAGAAAACTCTACTTGGATTGCGGGAATTTGTGGCATCTAACACAAACATCACAACAAAACACACAAACATTGAAATATTAAAGGGCCCATGTCATGGCCATTTCCACTGATCATAATTCCATTGGTGAGGTATACTAAAATAGATTTATACTGTGCAATTTTCCAAACTCACATTGGTTTCGCATACAGCATCTCTGTAAAGTATGTGTATTCAGCAGTATTCACTCTCTCCACTAAACGACTCGTTGGAGCTCTTGCCCCCCCCCCTCCCTGTGAGCCTAGTGTGCTCCGATTGGTCAGCTCGGCCACTCTGTTCTGATTAGTCAACCACCAGAGAGGCTCCGCCCATGTCTAACAGTGCTTTTTTCGGCTCGCTCTCGGAACATCAGTCTTATAATGGCGTCGGTACAGCCGTATATTTTATACGCTAACTAACCGAACTGTACCTACAACTGTTGTTATAGAAGAGTAAGTTATTTTTACCTGTAATAAACTACTACTGTTTGATGAGAAATCAAATCATGGTTTGCTATATATGAATGATATGTTATAGGAGCAAATAATTCAGGGAAGAAAGGATAGGCCTACTAAGTATTTCCATCAAACTTTATTTTTAGAAATGTACAAAATGAACATAAATATACATATATACACGGTATATCATCCATTCCTCCCCGTTGTCGGCATCTTGCCTATCGCAGCCGGGGCTTTTTAGGACGAGGCCTCAGTGTGGTAGTCCCGTCCTCGTCATGTATTGTCCGGCGGGATCTGGCTGGACAAAATCAAATGCAAATCACAAAATATTAGAGAAACTTAGTTGTTTTAGATTTGTTAGTAGTAGTTGTGGTAGGAGTGTGGATCTATATAATCCATCTATCTAATAAACACAGTAAGCTTGCCAGCTAATATGCTAACCTAGCTTTCTTGTTTACCTTGTTAGCAAACACGATATGAACGTTAGCTCGGAGGTACGGCAACTATAATGGAGTGTAATAAAACTACTATGAAATAAAACTTCCTGACGGGCAGACCCCAGGCAGTGCGGGTGGGAAATATCACATCCTCCACCCTGATTCTCAACACCGGTGCCCCTCAAGGCTGCGTGCTCAGCCCTCTCCTCTACTCCCTGTTCACCCACGACTGCGTGGCCACACACAGCTCCAACACCATCGTGAAGTTTGCTGATGACACGACCGTCATCGGCCAGATCACAGACGATGACGAGACGGCGTACAGAGAGGAGGTCGAAAACCTGACATCTTGGTGCCAGGAGAACAACCTCCATCTCAACATCAGCAAAACAAAGGAGCTGATTGTGGACTACAGGAAGCAGCAGGGAGAGGGACACGCCCCCATCGCCATCAATGGGACTACGGTGGAGAGAGTCAAAAGCTTCAGGTTCCTTGGGGTCCACATCACTGAGGACCTGACATGGTCTCTTCACACCACCACCATCACCAAGAAAGCTCGACAGCGGCTCTTCTTCCTCCGCAGGTTGAGGAGGTTCAAAATGGATTCCAGGATACTCTGCAACTTCTACAGGTGCACGATAGAGAGTATCCTCACTGGCAGCATGACGGCCTGGTACGGCAGCTGCACCGACCTCGATCGTAAGGCTTTACAGAGGGTGGTGAAAACTGCACAGCACATCACCAGGACGGAGCTGCCATCCATGGAGGACCTTTACTCCCAGCGGCTCAGGAAGAAATCACTACGGATTATCAAAGACCCCCATCACCCCAGCCACAAACTGTTCTTTCTGTTGCAGTCTGGCAGACGTTACCGCAGCATCCTGGCAAGGACAAGAAGATTCGGAGACAGTTTCTTCCCGCGGGCAGTGAGACTGTTAAAAAATTGAACTGTTGAAACAACTTCAAACATTCAACTGCTACTCAGTAGTATGTATCTAATACCTAATATATATATATCATTCCAATAACTTGTATATAGACTCATACTGCACTATTCCACATCATAACTTTATTTCATTTTTATAACTATTATTATTTTTGTATTGCTCATGCTCTTATTGTTATTATGTTATGTTATTATGTTGCATTGTTGGAGAAGCCTGTGACATAAGATTTTCAACTGCATAATTACTCTGTAGCTATGTCAGATTGACAATAAAGAACCTTGAACCTTGAGCTAGTGGTTCATATTAGGCTAGCAATAACGTGTTTATAATTGCAATCTTATACGGGTAGTCTGCTACGTTCGGTCATTCATTGTAACTGGCATGAATACGATGTTTCCCGCTAGCATGTATAGCTAGCCTTGTTAGCTATACATGCTATCAGCGTCGGAGGAAAGCCAACTGTAATGTACCGTCCTTTGGGGGTCTGTGAGCGGGCAAAGAGAGGGGATTTCCCCGTTGTCTCTGCTGGAAGTGTGAAATAAACTTAGTTGTTTGATGTTCGTCAGTTTGCCAGCTGGATTACAATGCTAATCTACGTTTGCTAGTTGTTCAGTTGTTCAATATGCTATACTATACTATGAACAACAGATAGTGGTTCATATTAGGCTATCAAGCACATGTTTACAATTGCAATCTTATATGGGTAGTCTGCTACATTCATTGTAGCTGGCATAAAATCAATGTTTTTCTGAGCAAACTCATGTCTAGCTCTTAGTAGCCTTGTTGTTTAGCTCGGTAGCATACACGCTCGGAACGCCAGCTATAATGTAATTACGTTTCGCGACTGACCGTACGGTAAATCACCTGGAGTATACTGTCTATGAGTATTTCGTGTGTGAATGCAGACATTCTCCTGCTATGAGATACATGTATGTAAGGCCATCTGCTGATATTAGAGTTGATATGGAAACGCTAGCAACTTAGTTAGCACAGTTAGCACTGGCTGAGCAGTCCAAAACATGTTTACACATTTAAACAGTCGTGGTAGATACATTCTTTGATAAATACACAAATAACAATGCAAACTTACAGGTTGTGTACCCGAATCTTCCCGTGCTCCAAACGATCCAAACAAACTAGGAATAGCATCGTCCTTCAGTTTCAAATGCTGTGCATATCCGGCCTCAAACTGGGCAATGTTTTGGAAGCTTTCGTCTGTGAAATGCCGCGCACACAGTAACGTTCTTCGAACCTCTGAAGGAACAGTGTTAAAAATAAGTTTCAACCACTGACTTCGTCGTGGTTCTTCCGTCGGTAGGACAAACAGCTCAGATTTCTCCTCACATTTCAGGAAACAGGTCCTTGGCATTGGCATGACTGGATCGATTGTACACCGTTTACATGCATAAAAACCTTCATAACACACAAGGGGACGGGTAATAACCGGAAAAGCATGACATGGGCCCTTTAATACAGAACTCAAGCGAACATATGAGATAAAAACAGACTTCACACATTTAAAGGCATAGATCCCAAAATACACAAACACACACACATTCACACACACACACCTTTGTACATCAATTACAAGCTAAAGAACACATCTAACTTTAAGATTTTACATGAGCAATACAAACCTGAAGTTATCTGTCTCCTATACTCTTCTATGTGACCTCAATGACTGTTCAAGTGATCATTTGAACAAGTCAAAATAGAGCTTTTTAACAATGTGCTTAATTACCACTTCTTAATTCTCCATTCTTTGTAACAGATCACTTTGAAATCATAACAGAGATTGCTGTAGTGTAAAGTAAAAAACAATGTTCCTTACGGCATGGCTTACATTACATTGTTCTCAAATGATAATCTTAAGTAGGAGTGTGTCTGTCACAGTCTGCTCCATCATTCACCAGTAGTTTTCCATTCACCTGTCTCACCTGTTAACCTCTTAAGCCCTGAGCCTGTTTTTCAGGTCTCAAGCTCGAAAATGACATTCCCAGAACAAATGACCATATCTTCCCTTCTAAAAGGGTTAAATTAATAATCTTTATTCTCAAAGTAATGATAAACCTGTGAGTTGGATGTAGAAAAGTCAGAATCAATATAGATGTTTTTATTTTAAAGAAAATTCAGATTTTACATAGTAAAAAACTGTAAATTATAGTGTCCGTCCAAAAATTCTTTTTTACTTATAGTGAAAACTACCCTTGGATGATGGGTTAGTAGACTAAAAGCTTTAGGAATCCAAAGTACAACATATAATAAGTACTCTGTATCAAGATTGATGCAAAACAAGTGACATTTGACCTTTTTAGAGAGATTTAGCCAAAAAACCCACTTCTGGGGTCATTTGGGTGGATTTGACCTATCTCTGGCCCCCCTTCGTCGATTTTGATGAATGAAATCTCTTTATAACCGCTAGAGCCAATAGAATCGAGGGAAAGTTCTATATACACCAAATCGTTAACAAATAAGGAGTGAGAGTGACGCGTTACCAAAACCGGAAGCTGCATACACTCTGGTGGCTACCATTAGCAGCTAACTTTTCCGCTCCGATTTTTACATAAAAATGGAATTATGGATTATAAATAATTTTTTCAAAGGCACAGGTACATTATCAACCTATGGATCAACAGTTGTAGCATTTTTCTTTTTCGTTTTAATGCCATTGAACACGTCTTTTGACCTAATTGACAGCTACGGTGAGACGATCTGCCGTAAAAGCTCCGTAAAGGTACGTGTTGTGATGTCTGTGTTTGCTTCCCCTGTTGCAAGTTCGGATCGCTCAGTGATGATACTA